CATAACTAAATGACTCCAATAACTTAAATATAGCATAAAGAACAAATTTCCAGACAAACATATATAAACTTAGTGCTACTATTTCTGCGCTCTACTGCCGATAAGAGCATTCACTTCAGCTTTGCTGCTCACCAATTTAGCCTCTTCACCTGCCTTAAGCCTCACAAAAACTTTCCCGCGTAAGGAGAACGCCGACGCTAACTGCTTCTTCCGCCTGAGCTCAGAGGCAAATGTCATCACTTCACGCGGTTTTTTTGGTAGACTTTCATGCACAAAGACAGAACCGTAACCCGGCAACTCAATGTCAGAGAGCGCAAGAGATCTCTTTCTACTCTTGCAGAACACAGCAACCGATTTTAAGAGCTGATTACGATCAGGCGCAGAGAACAGCTTAACAACAATTGGACAAACACTACTATTTTTTTGTCCATTAGTTTTTGCATTCCGCAGCCGAAAAGCATCACGCAAAGGTGGAGGTTTATGCTGAGCCGCACTGCAAATCTTCGAAAAGAGTTCAGGCAAACACTCACCCGCTGTTTGAGGTATTCCGTTGATTATCAGGTCTATAACCAGTAAAATAAGTTATCTCGAATCTTGGCAATTTTTGGTAATTTTTGACAAAACACTCTATTTCTCTGTTCCATACCAATATTTCAATCATTAACTAGTATTTTAAAGTGTCATTTTAATAAACATTAAATAAAAGTGTATGTTTTCTGCAGCAAAATACATTAATTTTTTTTTAATAAAATCAAAACTTGTAAAATCACAAACATATGTGGTTTTATCGGAAGTGCACAGATGTAACGTGGCAACTTAGCTCGTTTTCATATTTTTCGGTCCGAAATTGTAAAATTTTTGTCCATGCCGCGCCACAATCTTTGTACAGGTGGGTCAATGTGCCTTGAACAAAATTTATATATATACAAAAAAATTATTTTATTTATTTTTTAATATTAAAAATTTCTATACTTCCAAGCGTTTATAAAAATATATTTACATATATGCACGAACGATTTTTAATATTTTTCATCCCTAAGCAAATCTTCAGTACCATAAAAGATTCAAACACATCAAAGTACAAGCAATGCAATGTTCAACCTAGTGCTACTCCACTGTACATGTGTATATGAATGTATGCATGTATGCGTGTAAAAAATGTCAATTCCAGTTGGTCTTTAACCCATTCAGCGGACATAGTTTTTTTGGTTTCAGCTGGTTGCAACTGTTAATGAAGCACAATTTTTATGTTTAATCTTTATGAAAGTTACATGTATCGTCGAGAACATGGTTACATGCAGAATTTTAAATTAATTAATATTATTCACCATACAAAATGTACGAGTATTGCTTTATTAAATGCAAACTTATGCGAAAATCTAAATATTTCGCAAACATGGGGTTAATGGTTTCGCGCACGTGCCAATCTGGTGCCGATTCGCAGAAATTGAATAATTTGTGTGTTAATGGGAGCGGCGAGGGGAAGACGAAAGCCGACCAATCGTACATTTGTATGTACATATATATGTTACATACATACATTACATATCTACATATTAACAAAGGCATGTGTATACATATATGTACGTACAAATTTATGCGTTTGGCTTTTTGCATGAATAGAAAATTTGATTGCAGAAATAATTTTAATGAAATTAATTTTACAAACACATTTGTACTATATAATATTAAGTTTGTTAGTTAATATCGGTATTTTGATAACTAGCCATAATTTGTTAGACACACATACGTACATACACGGGCAATCAAAAGTGATTGCATGGTTCTTTTTTGTATAATATTTACAATGTTTTTCAAGTAAAAATTTTTTTGTTATTTTTTTATAAAAATATGGTTCATGCTTTAATCGAAACCACATAAGTCAAACTTTAAAAATTTATACAGAACGTAGAAAAATTAAACAAATTTTCATCTAAATTTTCTACTTTTTAATCTAAATTTTTAGAAAGTTTTGGGTACGCAGATAATTGGTTATGTATGTAATTTTAGTGAAACAAGTGAAAGTTTTAAGCGGATAAAAGATCGCTTTAATTTTTAATGAATTTTTTCCGACGTATTTTGCGGTTTTATGCATAGGTATAACAGGTGTAATTTATAAAATATAGTGTTTATTTTTTTATTTTGTTTGCAAACGGTCTTGCGCATTTTATTCTACAGAAATTCGCTTTTATGTATATGGTAAAAAGTACAAGCCGTCCGCAATAAAAAATCATTAAAAATCTACGCGATTTTTTAGCCGCTTAAAACTTGCACTTGCTTTTCTACAGATCCATCATTCTAAAAACTCAGATTAAAAAGTTCAAAATTTAGACGAAAATTTGTTGAATTTTTCTAAGTTTTGTATAAAGTTTGACTTTGTGGTTTTGATTAAAGCATGAACCATATTTTTATACAAAAAAATAACGAAACAATTTTAACCGCGCGCAGCATTTGTTTATTTGCATAAGTGCATACATATGTATAAATGCATCTACATAGGTATGTATATGTATTTACAAACATTTTTATGCGCTTGCCTTTTAGCGTGTTTAAAATTTTTTCAATGAAGAATTTACTAATTGTTGACGAAAATATGGTTTACAAAATTTTCGCAAATTTATATTAGTTAATTGGAATTTTTATGAAAATAACGTTTTCCCAAAATTTATCCAGAAATTGTTTGTAATAACTAATTAATGTTTTAGATTTAATTCAATGAAAGGGGCATTAAAATAACTATCAAAAGTCATTTTTGTTGATAGATATAAACGGGCACAAAAATAACATTTCACAATTGCTAATTTATTCGAATTCTGTTATTTTGTGCCGCTCTGCGCTCACGCTGTTAAAAAATGGTGAGCTTCTAGAGCTATCGATGTTAAAAATTTAACGTGGTGAGCTTCTAGCCGATTTCTGATCTATTACAAAATACCAACGAGTAGCGTGTTGCTGCTTCTCTGTTTTAAACGTTCTCTGCCCATACTGTGCTTCTGAAACCAACACGCTACTTTTGACAGAAATACAAAAATGGCAGAGAAATAACTTTAGATACAGATGGCGCTATAAGCAAAAACCACAAACATAGGTGTTGCTATACTAATTAAATACTAGGGCTGCTACAGTCTCCCCCATTGGCGTGTGGACGCCGCCCCGGTAACACGCTAACACTTAGCGCTTCTTGGGTCTTCCTCGCTTCCTTAGAGGATAAATTGGGGCTGCGACAGCGTCGTCATTCGTACCCTTATATTCGGTCAATGCAGACACGTGGTACGTTCCCAGTGGCATGTTGAGATTATCTCGCGACGCTACCTCAAACGTTGTTGAACCAACCTTCTTAGTGATGACATACGGGTCATCCCTTTTAGGGACAAATTTCTAAGTACATGTGTTGTTACCATAACCTCGGTACCAACATTAAAATCTGGTTGTGGTCGTCTGTGCTGATCTTGTCGAGCTTTATTTCGGTCTTGAACCTTTTGCTCGGTTTCGCGGGCATTTTTTAAAACCTTCGTCAAGCTTTCTTAGTACGGCGAGATTTGTGGAATAAAGTTATCTTGTGTAAGTATGGGTCGGACGTCATGATCTATATCATCCATAGTGCGGAGTTCTCTTCCAAATGTTGGAAAGGCAGCACTATAGCCGGTGCTTCTGCACTTCGCAGTGTTCATTGCAAAACGAACCGCTGGCAGATTAGCAACCCATGTGTTGTGATGCGTTTGTACAAGTATTGCCAATTGGGCCTTTAGATCCCGGTTTTTACGTTCAACTGGGTTAGCCTCGGGGTGATATATGGGGGTAAGGCGCTGCTGAATACCGAAGTGATGTGTCACTTGCTGCATTATGGCAGACACAAATTGCACTTCATTGTCTGTCTTCAAGCTTCGTGGTGTACCATAGCGGAGAAACACTTCTTCCATCAGAATTCTACTACAGTTTACAGCGGTGGCTTCCGTCAATGGGAATATTTCGACCCATCGCGTGGCTACATCCTCTGCAATCAGGATCCACTGGTAGCCCTCCTCGGTTGGTGGTAATGGACCGAACAGGTCCACCGCTAGAATTTCAAATTGATGCTTGCTACTCGCTGTTTGTAACATACCATACGGTTTCATGTTTGCAGCTTTGAAGCGTTGACACTCAATGCATGATTTCACATGCTTCATGACATCAGCTCGCATGCCTGGCCAGAAATATCTCGACGCTATTCTTGCGATGGTTTCTCTGCTCCGTAATGTCCAGCTGTGCAATCATCATTATAGAACTTTAGGATTTGGGAACGCTCCCGCTTGGGCGCAACATATTGCGCATCTTCCCTATCATCATTGGCATAGCAATACAAACTTCCGTCATTAACAATGCACCCGCGATCAACCCAACGGCTAACATTCTCATCACCAGCCTCCAGCGAAGCTATGATGTTCTTTAGGTAGGGGTCTTCAAGCTGTTCACTCCGCATATCAGAAGCGTTCTTATGTGGAAAGTCTATTTGAAAGGCAATCATACTGGTTCAAACTTTTCACCTTCATCGCAGGGTGGTCGCGATAACATATCTGCAACGGCGTTCGATCTTCCAGGAGTATACTCTATTTTAAAGTTGTACTGCTGGATCTGCAAAGCCCATCTTGCCAACCGTCCAGATGGCGATTTCATACCCAAGAGCCACTTTAACGTTTGGTGATCCGTTGCCAGTACCGCCTCAGCACCTTCAATGTAACCACGGTATTTGGCACAAGCCCAGACTATAGCGAGGGCCTCGCGCTCCGTAGTGGAATAATTCCGCTCTGCCCTTGTCAACAAACGGCTTGCATATTCGACGGGATGCTCTTCATTCCCCTCTCCCAAGATACCTGACTTCCGAGCAACAGAAACGACATTTAGTGCTATTGACACGCAGTTTAAATTTATTCAATTTTTGGAAAATAGTGTTTAGATGGTTTAAATGCTCTTGGAATGAGGCAGAATACACAATGAGGTCTTCCAAATACGCCCATACTTGAACCTCAGGCATAGAATACTTCAGCCGGTCCATGAGTCGCTGGAACGTCGCAGGCGCATTTCGCAATCCAAAAGGCATTCTAGTAAAGCAAAAGAGTCCAAATGGAGTTATTATGCAAGTTTTATCGAGGTCATTGGCAGCTTTACCTTTACTTGGTGGTAGCCACGCTGCAGGTCTAATGTCGTCATATAACGCGTACTTTTCGCAGCCTGTAGCAAGTCATCCATTCTGGGCAATGGATATCTATCGTGTTCAGTGATAGCGTTCAACTTCCGGTAATCCGCACAGATACGCACACCACCGTCTCGTTTCGGCACCATAACAACCGGTGAAGTCCACACCGACTCGCAATCTTCCACCACTCTCATCGTCAACATCTTGTCAATCTCCGCCTTAAGTTCGAGCGTTTTTGGAAACGACAACCGGTATGGTGGAGAGGTAATTGGCTCATGGTCACCTGTATTAATACGATGTTCAGCAAATGGCGTTGCCTCCGATATTTCACCAAACACTTCTTCATACTTACATAGGAGGCGGTCTAGTTCCAGCTTTTCTTCTTCTAACAAACTCGCTGCATCTGTAGTCTTTAAGATTTTCAGGTCCAACGAGTTTAACGGGGTGAATCCGTCATCGCTGGTGTTCCCTCCGTACACTACGCCTGTAAATAGTTCTCGCGTGGTCGTACGGTCAGGGGTTGTTTCGTCTGGTTGCAACGCATCTTTGAAGATCGCTTGGATGGAGTGCGGCGAATAGTCGCCATCTTCCAGCTCTGGTCCATAACTTTCGAAATCCGACATGTACACTTCGCTATGGTATCGCTTCGATTCGCTCTGCATAACATCGAACGGGCTACGTTTGCACACCTTGACGCTATCTATTACATTGTGGCTTAGCAGCAGTGCTTCGGCGAAGTCAAAATGAACGTTAGGGCAGTTTTCATAATACCAAAACTTTTGACCCATATTTAGCACGACTCCAACCTCCTCCAAAAAGTCTGTACCCAGCAATGTGCGATTGTTGGTAGCCTCCGGTAGTATTATGAAACGAATGTTTAAACATCTTCCTCCAAATAATATTTTTCAGACAGTCGACAGACACTCTTGCGAAGATGTGGTTCCGTCTGCCAGCGAAATTTCGCACTTGACTGTTTTATACTTACAGCCGTGAAAGTCCATAATTCGCTTCAAATTCGCGCTAGTAGCAACACTCGTGTGCGCACCCGTGTCCAAAAAACCTTGGCCAGGAGCTCCAAACAGCTGGACGTTCGCAATCGGTATATTACTCCCCATATTGTTGGACGAGATTGTGTTAAAATTAACAACGGTTGCTTCAGGCTTGCTTTTCACACGGCACGATGGACAATTCGCGCGGACATAACCGGGCGCATTACAGCCGTAACAGGCAAGCTTTGGTTTAGCTTGCGTTGCTTGAGCAACAGCCTCAGCAGCCGCAGCAGCATTTTGTCTTTGCGTTTCCTCTTTAATGCGCTTGTAGCAATACTCCGCCGAGTGGCCCTTTTTACAGAATGCACAACGTGCTAGACCACTAATCGACTCCGCTTTCGTGTTCACTGTTACGCTACGCTCGCTTAAAGCATACTCCGCTTCCCGAGCATCTCGCAGAAGGTAATCAAATGTGGCAATATTATGACGCGCCACTTTGTCACGCACTTGTACATGCAGCATGCCAACCAGTATGTCGATCTGCTAGCTTTCTTTTGGTGGACTGGCCAGCTGAACGAGAGTGCTCTCTTCTTGCGAATAAAATTGCCAGTCGCTTCATGTTTTTGCTACTTTCCCTTGCAGATGTCTGCATAAATGCGCCATGCAGGCCTTGGAGGCGAGAAAGCCTCCCGCAGCATTCGTACCACATCACAAAAGGTTGCCGCATTTGTCTTCACACCCCGCCACCATTCAGAGGCATCACCTTCCAGCAGCATTGGCATACCATCGATGGCATCCACATCGCTAATCTTCTCCACCACTTTAAACGTTGACACCGCCGCGATAAATTCTTCCACCTTCTACGTATTACGTTCCCCGCTGTAGCGTGCAGTTCAGTTGCTAAACGACCCAATTCGAATGTTGACTGTCGTCACCGCCTGCATCAATCGCTCAAATTGTTCTGTTGTTATTGTCGACATCCCTCCTAGTCAAGAACTTCGTCCCACTGGTTGCATGCACTATTTAAAGATCGCGTATTAATTCGGCCACTAAGTAGGACGCCAGTGTAGAAATGATTAAACCGATTTCTGGTTGGATTTTACGGATTTATTTAGTAAAAGCAGTAACAAAGCACAGATAAAACGAAATAATGATTTAACGCCGTCAGTCGAACATTAATAGTTGGTTCCAGAAGCTCTCAGTATAGTTTTAAAATGAAGTTACGTGAAGAAAATCCTGGAACGAAAGGAATATTTCCATATTGTGGTGAAGGTGGCAACACCGATACGATATCGCCGGCCAATTATCTTGTCCAAAATGCACTAGAAACACCAGTCAAATCTAATGCATCCGGCCAATTGTCTTGTCCACTACACTGAGATAAGGTGGCGCTTCGGCAAGTTGCGGGTACCGGCCAATTGTCTTTTCCAAGCACTGCACTCACCGTGATGTTTCCCCTTCACCAAAAATGGATTAATGACCGAATTGTCGTATAACATGTGCTTATATAGCACGATTTGCACATGATGCAATAATAAGGTGGTATCTATCAGTTGTGACAGCTCGATTTGATACTGCCTTAGCTCAGTAGAATGAGAAGAAAAACGGGAAGAAATAAATTCCCATATGGGGGAGAAATATAAAATATCACATTTTCTCTTAAACAAAATTTGCTTTTTTATAGTGTATTCGTTATGAAATGAAATAAGATAAGATAAAATACCTTTTTAAGAAAACAAAGTGTGTATACTGAGAAAAAATAAAAAACATTCAACTATATTATTGGGCAAAGAATAGTTAAACAAGTAATGCAGCGTTTTTGCTGCATTTAAAATGCAGCATTTATCACTTTCGAACATATGTTTTCGAAGAGCGTTCATGCTATCGCATTTAGCAAATGTACATTTACGCGAGTTCGAAATCGTATGCTTTTGACAAACAGCCGTGTTCCAGTCGCTTATTCAGATCCGTATCCATTACGATAAATTCTCACGGAAAAGATAATCTGCAAAAACCCTTACTGAAAAGGAAAAATAAATTCTAAACCGAAAATTCAATACAAAAACCTGAATTGTTTTAACCATAACCGAACATTTGTTTGTGTATATATTCATTTGTCGGTGCTGCCAATTATATTTTCCACACCTAATTAGGAAACAAAACAAACAGAGTTGATCACAAATTAATCCAGATTTCTATCAGCATCATTTCGATGTTGAATTTGCGTAACTTTTCTTTATCCAAATAATGTAAAATAATAAATGAAATCTCGATCGGTGATCACTGAAACGCAGCTAGCGGTTGTATACTCGAAAAAGCAATGTTGCCACTTTTTCTCATTAAACCATGTTCGAATCGTGGAAATTTTGGAAGATCACAGGGATGCTTTTAGCATTTAGATTCTAAATGCAAGGATTGAGTTGCATTTAGTTGCATTTAGATGACGAATTTTGTATGGATAAATGTACATTTAGAGTAGCATTTAGAGCTAAATGCGCTAAATGTACATTTACGCGTAAGCAAAAACAGCCCATAACACTGTTTCCAATAAGGCAGTCAATATGGCGGAATTAGAGCGAGAAGCTGCCAATTGATAACACCTTGTATTATTGCATCATGCGAATTGCACTTGAACTTCTGACACCAACACGCTACTTTTGACAGCAATACAAAAATGAGAGATAAATAACTTTAGATACAGATGGCGCTATAAGCAAAAACCACAAACATAGATGTTGCTATACTAATTAAATACTAGGGCTGCTACATACATTTTTTATAATTTGTAAATTTTTTATTATTTGTAAAGAATTGGGATTCTAGCACAGATATCAAAATTTCTGTTCTTGACAAATTATTAAGATTCAAAATGCTATTGAAAAGCGTTCACAAATTTAAGTTTAATGTGAAAACTATAAATTTTGTATATACAAATATTTGTTTTTGTTATTTAAATACTGTAAACAGTGTTGCCATTTTAGTATTTTCCAGCTAAATTTAGCCGGTTGCGATAGCAAAAAGCCGGAGAAATTTCGGTTTAGCTGGAAGTCGATTAGTTAGCAGTTTTGCAAAAAAAAAAATAGCCGTTTTTAGCCGATTTTGCTATTCACCTGTTGCGATCCAAAATCTGTAAGAAATGCCTGATTAGCCTTATCGTGGAGAAAATTTTCAGCGTTATATAAAATTGGGCCGATTTCGCTTATTTTTATTTTAAACGAATATATTTTTTCTAAAGAAAGCCGTAACGATTTTCTTCATAAAATGTTTGTTATGAATGACTTAAATTTAAGTGTGAAACTTAGAAAATAATGTGGCGAATACTGCAGCAACGCGAAGCGAACAACGAGAAATTGGCAGAATGTTCGAGGAATGACGTAGAATGTTCCACAAAGAGAAACGTCAAGTTGGATGAACTCTGCGAACAGCGAGAGAAAGAGAATGAGCGATGAACTTCAGAACATTCTAGAGTTGCCATGAGTGCGAGCTCAGGTATATAAGAGCCACCACACAACGGAGTGAGTTAGTTACAAGTCAACAAGCTACAAGTAAATTGAGTTGCGAATAAGCAAGCTATAAGTTTAATTGTGTTAACAAGTTTTGTAAAGCATTGTAATTGCTTTAACGAGTATTGTAAAGTGTTTTTACGGTATTAGCGAGTATTGTAAACTGTTTGTTGTACAATAAAGTTAACTGTACTACAATTTGGTCATCGTGAGCATTTATTTAACAATCTAGCGATACGAGCCGGATGATATTTGGGAAATCCCTCAAGGTTTCGAGGATAATCGTAACAATAACAAATTGTTTCACTTTTTGCTTAACACGTGTTTGTGTTTGGATATAATGCCAAGAATAAATGTTACAGGAACCTTATGGTGCATTTACATGGTATGAATCTGAATTTTTCTATAAAAGAAGCACCAGCTCTATAAAGAAATGAATGAAAGCGATATATATTTAACAATTTTGACTTATATACTCGGCAATATTTTTTTTTGTAAACAACAAATAAAAAAATTGTATTTTGTGCTAGCTTCGAAACTAGAAGCTTATTTTTGATGTGTATACATCTTTGGTTTCGGTAGGGGTAAAATTTGCGAAGCTGTAACGCATATCCCAGCACAAAATTTTGAAGGGCTTAGCATGTGTATTTCAGCATAAAATTTTTATTTTCATTAGAAGCGCCCTGTGTTCGCTTTCCAAATGGTTGCATACATTTAGGCATATGCATAGTAAGAGGAAATGCGCTACAATTGATTATTAGCCGTCATCGATTCGCCATCAGCTAGCAAGTGGCGAAACGAACGAACTCAATGAGGTACAACCAAACTTGCTATCGTCTATCCGTGCTAGCTAACTTTGTTGTTGCTTTCACATGCACAATTTTTGTTAAGCGACCGGAACTCAAACATAGCGAGCGAGAAGTGGCGAATCGACGACGGCATGGCATCCTATGACACCCACGATGCATAAGATACTAGCCGTCATCGATTCGCCAACAGTTCGCGAGTGGCGAAACGAACGAACTCAGTGCTTATCTTTGTTGTTGCTTTCACATGCAAAATTCTTCTTTAAACGACCGGAACTCAAACATAGCTAGCATCGAAGTGGCGAATCGATGACGGCTACTAATTCCTTATTAAGAATAGGACAATTATCGGGGAGGCTCAAGATGCCCACAACAAACACTACCGAGAAAATTATTCCCGGAAGTTGTAACCGTGACATATATAACCGGCTGTTGATGAGCTCGGACTCGTTTTTAAGCAGTATTTCGGTTCATGACCAAAAAAAGAAAA